TATTGGGAAGGCAGTTTTCTTGCTTTGCATTAAAGGAGAGGTTTTTTTCTCCATGTTGGTGCAAGCAGAACAGACCAGTCTGCCTAATGAACTTCATTCCATCTTGCACAGCCTCTGTTCCTATTGGCTAGTATATGCTCTGGTGGGCATCTCCCCCAAGTCCCTGCACTGTGTCTTCAAGGCTGGACCTGGGGGCAGTGTTTAAGTTCAGTAGTGGAACAATGAAATGTTGGTGCCTTCCTGCCCTCCTGCCTGCCTGCCTGCTGCTTGTTTGAGTGAAAATGGCAAAAGTTCTGCCTAGGTTCCCCTTCTAGCCCACATTACAGGAAGAACTGTAAACTGCTACCTTTGGGGTTTTTTTACCAGTCCTCCAAAGACAAGCTGACAGAGGGGGAAGCATTTGGCCCTTGCTTTCCTGGCATGAATAGGGGAGGGAGGACTCATTGGAATCCACCAAAGTGGGGCCTTCTTAACCACTATCCAGGCAAGACACCTGTCCATCACGGTGGCCCAAGAGGAGGAAGGGTTGAAATCCAGAAAAGGGTTTCTTAAACTGACTTCATTTCCAGACAGTTTATGCACGGGAGACAAGCAGCTGAAGGCTGCAGGGCAGAAAAGCCTCTAGTGTGTAAAATCTACAGAACTGAAATATGAAAAACATACCAGGAATTTAGGTATTTCACCTACTCTGTTCATAACAAGATACTCCATTTGTGCAGAGTAGCATTGGGATGTGACAGAGGTTCAGTACACTATCACAGCAAACAGCCACACAATTGAGAATAATATCCTCTCCAGTAGAGTTAAAACTGTGGCGTATAAAGGACATTGATTTTATGCGCTTGAACAGCCCTTGGGGAAAAAAGGCTACAGAAGCCAACTAATCTGTAAACCTATTGCTGGTCTGTTTCAGTTAACATACAACCAGTGTTTCCAAAGTACAGGGTGATAAGGGAAAGGCATCATCTGAAATATGCTTTCTCAGATGGACAGTACTGTATTACCCTATAAGTATGATAAGATCACAGCTTTTATATTGTGTATTAGAGACCTTACACCACTCTGACTTTTCAATCATTTTGTACACTTCTAGAAAAAAAAAAAAAGTATTAGCTCAAAGTGTTGCTTCGGCACAAGACTCCTCAGCCTCCTCTCTCCATCATTGCGCTAAAATTAATGTTTAAAGTCTTGCACATTCAGACACTTACTGCCTTCACTACATGCCTTGAAAGAGATGCTTTATTTAGTAAGATGTATTCCAGGAGGAGGCCTCTAAGCCTCTGGTGGTATCCTCCAAACCCACTGAGGAGGCAGGGTAGAAAGCTTCAGCAGCTCTATGATAATTCAGCTCTCAGAATGCACTGTCATTCCTGAAACTAGCAATGCGAGTTCTGGCATTGGCCAAGTAGATACACCTGACAGACATGTGTTAAGTTTAGAACGTTGACACATGCTGATTGTCTCAGCCTTCCATTGCAAGGAAGTGAGAAGAATCCAGTCAGTGTGACAGGCTTCCCGTGAAGGAAATGAACCAAGGCCCTGATGATGCTTATTCATCAACACAAACCATTCAGGAATGTGACTGCCCTGAAGCTGCCCTGCTAGATGGTTAGTTTTCTTGCTCATGGAACTTGTAGCAGTAGCCAAACGCCTTTTATAATGGGCAGGTAATAGAAATGACCAGATGATTCCTCAAGGCTTGGGTGGTTGACAGTCTGAATTCACTCAGAATGGCCACACAATACTTGTGCTGAATTAAAATACCATAAACATTTCAGATGAATGAAAGATGCTTCATTGTTATAATTATGGAGATTTTATTGTACTCGCTATTTATTCTTGATTTTCTCAATGTTATGTGATATGCTCTGCATGGAGAAAAGATTGCAGATACATTTCCTGGTATCTCCAATAGAGCCTCAATGGACCGTGCATCTGACTTGATATAAACCAGCTCTCCATGTTCTTAACTTTGACAAATATTTTTTTGAGCAGTTCTGTATTTGTTTTCAGTATTAACCTTGCACTTTTGTTGCTGTTTTAATTCTTATCACAGCACTTGGAAATCAATTGGGCAGGGCTGACAAACTTGTTAGATGCTCCAGGCATTAGGTAAGTGCCCCCCAGATGTTACGGTTGAGCTGGGAACAATCTAAATGTTAAAATCTCAAAAAGGAGGTTAAATGTAAGAGATGTTCTATGGCAGTGTTGTCCAAACTTGGCCACTTTAAGATGAGTGGAGCATGGCTGAGGAATTATGGGAGTTGAAGTCCACTCATCTTAAAGTGGCCAAGTTTGGACAACACTGTTCTATGGCAATTCTAAACAGTGGTGGCTATTGTGGGTGGAGCACAGGGGCCATCAAGCAGAACCTACGTCCTTAGTAGGCATTCCAGCAAGTAGGGGGATAAGAGCTGCCCACACAGTGTGCCCCCTAGTAAAATTATTACAGATTCTTAGTTTTTTGTTTTTTGTTTTGTACTTCTGGTTAGAAATGTGATGGCCATTTGAGCTATTTGCTTTGTAATGGGAGCTTTTGCTTGCTTTGCCACTTAAGCCACATCTTGCATCTGAGCAAAACCAATGTCAATACTCAATAAAGGAAATAGTCATTTCCACAGGAAAGTTAACACTCTTATGGACTTGAGGTTTTGACAACATCCACATTCATTTTGAGCTACCTGGAAATAAAGACATCGCTGAGCCATTTATATGGTATTTTTCATTCATTAAAACAACCAAACAAAAAACAATATAGAAAAACATAAATTTATTTATTTATGTATACCTAAATTTGAAATACAAATAAATAAATACATTTATGTTTTTCTATATTGTTTTTTGTTTGGTTGTTTTAATGAATGAAAAATGCCATATTTACCCCATAGGAAGAAGGGTTTTTGTTTCCAGAAAGCAATTACCTGTGAATTTTGGAGGGTTATGAGTTTTGTTGTCTTACATTTACTGATAAGAAAAGTAAAAGCTGTTGAAATAAAAGAAAATAACATGAAGTGCATCCTTGAAGGAAATGCTTGAAGATTTAGTTGCTAGGGTGTGTGTGTGTGGGGAGGGGGAGTTTGCCTGGTGAATTTAACCCTTTTTGCTGCACAGAAACAAGCGTGCCCTTTATTTCTTTCCCTGCCTAGTTACTTTCTTTGCCTTGTCCCACCTCCATCCTTCCCCCTCACCCCCTGTTCTTTTTTCCTTGCTTTGTTCCTCTATTTCTTACACTTTCTCTCCACCCCTTTGTTTCCTGATTCTTCTGTTGGAAGGAGGGAGGGAGGGATGTATGTATGTTTCGCTGTGCTGGAATAATACTATGAGAAAATGGATGGTTTATGCAGCTAGGGAATCAATCAGTTTTGTAAATCGGCCATCTTATTTAACAAGCAAATAATTACAATTTATAGTTAACAATTCAATTGATACATTTTTGGCCTGGTCCCCCTTTTTGTTAGAAAAATGTGTATGTGTATGCACATATACAGGTGTTCATATAATGTACATTTATAGGATATGGGGTGAAACCTCCAGAATTGGTTGGGCATTGCACAGGATAATCGTCTGTGTGCTTATAATGTTTTAATATCCACTTTTCATGTTTGGAGGTCATTTTAAATCTGAGGCTATCTTCCTTTTGAGGAAGTACAATATCTAATGTGTATAGAAAGCTGAATGTGAAAAGCCCATCTCCCAACTTGTGTGTTGACTCAATCTGTGGATATTTTATAAAGCCCTGAAAAGAAATACTTCAATTTACTTCTGTATAATTCTCACAAGAATTGGGTTTGATTGATTTCCCAGGTTATTTTCAATGGCAAAGGTGTAGGCTGAAAACTGCAAGCCTTACTGGAGTACCAGTAACATCTTGGCTTTGTGTCTTCCCATTGATAGATAGATACAGTATTTGTACCTCCTGGGAAAAGTGTAGGTGTGACAGGAACAAGAAAACTATCCTATTGTGATTGCTGTCAGTATGCACTTTCACTTTTGTTTATTTCTAATAAAATAGAGCCACTTTCATATAGTGGTTAAAGCACCCACCTAGAACCCGGGAGACCGTGAGTTCTAGTCCCACCTGAGGCACAAAGCCAGCTGGGTGACCTTGGGCCAGCCCCTCTCTCTCAGCCTTAGGAAGCAGGCAAGGGA